CAGCACCTTCCATAGCATCTCTCGGTCCACCGAATCATACGCCTTCTTCAAGTCGACGAAGCACACGTAGAGCGGTATTTTCTTTCTCTGCCCCAGCTCCTGGAGGCGGCGCACGACGAACAGCATGTCGACGGTGGATCGCCTTGGTCGAAATCCGCACTGTTCCTCCGGGAGGATGTTGTTGGCTTCGCAGAAGGCGCTTAGACGGTTGGTGATGATCTTGATGGGGACCTTGCCTACGTGAGATAGTAGCGAAATCCCCCTGTAGTTGTTACAGTTGGACCGGTCACCCTTCTTGTACAGCACCTTGATGGTTGCATCCTTCCACTCTCGCGGAATATCTCCTCGTTCCACACCTTGACGAGGATGGTATGGAGGTGTCCCAAGACGAAGGGTTCGTCGTCATCGATCTTGAGCAACTCGGCAGGGAGGGAGTCATGGCCGGGTGCCTTCCAGTTCTTGAGGCCTTTCGTTGCCCGTGCCACCTCCTCGAGTTCTGGCACATCTCCCAACCGTTGAGTGTGGGAACCTCTAAACTACGAAATTTGGACTTCGTTTCGCTACCGTGGTATTGACAGTATGAAATTTCGGTGCTAGTGAGTACTCACCCCTTGCGAATCCTTGTAGAATTCGTTCCGAATCTCGAAGAAATCAGGGTGTCCCGACAAGTCCCAAAAGTTGATGCGCACCGATTCCCCGTTTACCGTGACCGGCTTCACTCCGTAGTCGATGCCAATGGTCGAGATATACTTTGACACGAACTGCGTTAAAGAGTCAAAGCCGTAGAGCAGACGAGCTGCAGTTTGCGCTGGCTTCGAAACGCACCTCTCACATCTTGCAAAGTACGCTGATATGGCTTTCTTTGGTATTATAACAGAACACATTTATTTTCCCGCCAGTTTCTGTGTCAAGAGCCAATACATGACCGACCTTGGTGATAATTATATGGTCATCTTATTTATTAACAGCCTCCGCATTTGGTCGTATCGGAGGGAAAACATATTCACAACGAATAAAGTGTTACTCATCATACTTGACTCCTCGTTTCAAAGTTGGGTAGACTAATACCGATGCTTGCATATAATATCGCACACACACCAACTCACCCGTTCTTCGCAGAACCGCTTGATGAGGCAGCTCTTACCCACGCCAAGAGCCCCCATCGAAATGATTTTCATTCGGACACACTGCCGTTCCAGAGGTGCCAACGGGTTTCACACTTTAGCATACACAGAATCACCGATGAGACTGGCAAATGACCGATAATCCGACTACATGTACATGAACTCCGCACACAGCAGCAGCAGTGGCTTTCTCCAGATTGTCAACAACAGGACGATTTGCACCCGCTTTGTCTACCGTCGTCCACTACCATCTTGCCTCTCTCAACTGCAGAGCTCGGAGTAGGGTTATGTGGTAACGTTCTTCAGATTTCGATCTCCATCATCTGGTGTATCACCTCGTCGCGAGCCCCACTGTAGACTACTGCTCTTCGCATGCACATGCTACATGATACGCCCGCAAACTTCACAGGACATGCAACAATATCTTACCCATAGCTTTTTCTGCGGAGCCTCTCGAGCGCGGGAAGTGTACAGGTCGTCTACTCCTTTGCTCTTCCTCCTCATCCCACCGCTCGGCCATCTCGCTGTCTCCTCCGGCATCCGGCGTTCTAGTGGTCACAAACGCCGATCGATCTAAAAAGGATCGTGCAGCGAAAAAAAAACAAAACTGTCAAAAACCCTGAAGATCTCCCCCTCTCGGAAAACGCCAACAGAAAAATATAGCGACAAAATCTCCCAAATGAAATCTCCGATTTTTCGAATCACGAAAGTGTTACGGCGGCGTGCGGAGACAACACACAACAACCCGGCTTTGCAACACCACTCCATGGGGATGGTGCTGCGATCGAAGTCCAACACTTCCTTGCCAACTCATCAGTACAAGCGTGTCTCGGAGGAGCCGCAGCACGCCACAAGACGAGCACAGGTTCCACCCAGCGGCCGTGTCCTCAGCAGCAGCAGCAGCTGCAGCGTCCTTGGTTCGCTCCTCAAGAGGGCCGTCCTCGTTGTCGGGGTGGTTGCTCCTGTGATGTTTATCTTGACCTGGCGCCACCTCTTTTCGATCGATGTGGGAGCTGTCTTGGTGGAGAATGGCGGCAGTGGGTCGTCGATTGAGAACACCTTTACCGTTAGGTGAGTTGGGTCGGATACGTCGCGGTGAGGAGAACATGGTTTGGTACGTGGATACAGGGGCGGCTGCGGCTGCTGCTTGGTTGTATAGAGTAACGCCAACACAACGAAAGAACGGTACCGCTGTGTACTAAGCCGCCAACACCGACTTCCTCATCAGATGGTTGGCAACAGTTGTTGGAGAGCTTCACGTGATTTAGAGACCAATTGCCGCCCCGAAGTCATTGCAACCAGGCTTTTCCTTGTCGCGAACCGATCCTTCCGAAATTGTTCATGAGGTCAGGGACCGTTCCTGCGATCGGAGGGATCATGGCCCTTATGGATTTCGTGCGCAGGAAAACGACCCACGCGTCCTTTCTTACAGCTCGTAGCTGATACTGCCTGTAGGCATAGCCTGGAGTTCAACGCTACACCAACTCACCAATGGCCACTTACTACCCCTAGTCTCAGTTGTTACCTCGCATAGCGCGCAGAGGGAGTGGAGGACTCCAGAATATCTGTCGTTGATTTCTATTGACTTGCGGACCCCTCGGGGCCATTTTATTTGAGTGTACCTTTTTAGGGTATATTAGCCTGCGACCACGGGAATCGACCGCGTCGAGGGTTGGATCAGTACGGACATACGAAGGTACTGGGTAGAGAGAGATCGGAACGGTTTTTATGTGAAGACAGCAACAACAGCACCTTGCAAAATATGGCGGCCCTCGCCTGCAGGCCTTCACGCACAAGTGGTTCGCGGGAAAAATCTTGGCCGCCCTTTCTTTTTCTCAGAAAATATTTCAAGTCGACGAAAACTGCTCCCGGGTGTGTGTTTTTTGCTCAGCGACTGCTGTCACTGCTCGATACCGGTACAGTATGTATGTTGGATATACATTCTCCATGCCTCGCGTCAGGCGTTCGGTGCGCCGGAGCAGCACAACCAATCGCGCTGCAGACGGTGGTCGTTGTCTTGCCAGCCGGGTGTGTCCCTCCTTCGCATGCGATGAGTCCATCTCCAACTCGACTTGTCACGTGATCTACCACAAAATTCGATCTGTGTCCCGTCTTATGAAGCCGATCTCCGCCCCTCGAACCACTCGTGTCTCACAAAGGATGAACACTTTCCGTCGCAACGACCTGCTCAAGAGAAGCGCGGAGCACCTCGCGTCCTGCGACTGCGTCGGCCAGATCCAGGTCGTCTGGTCAGACCAAGAAAACGCTCCCCCTAGCATGGACCTCTTCACCGAACGAACCCGAAGAAAGGTAGTCTTCGAGGTGCACGACACCAACAGCCTGAGCCATCGCTTCAACGTCACGTCGACCTTGGGCACCGACGGCGTGTTCTCCACGGACGACGACCTCGAGATCTCGTGCGCGGACCTGAAGTTCGGGTTCGAGACATGGCGGGCCAGCCAGAACACCATGGTCGGCTTCTCGCCGCGGCTGGTGACGCGCGACCCGGGGACGGGGCGCCACTCGTACCGGTCTTGGAGGGTGGTGCGCTGGAACGGGGTGTACAACGTGATCCTGACCAAGTGCTGCTTCCTGCACCGGGACCACCTGCGGACGTACGTGGACGAGATGACCGCGCCGCTCCTGGCGTACATCGACGAGCACCGGAACTGCGAAGACATCGCCATGTCGGTGGTGGTGGCCAAGTTCCACAAGACTCCCCCTGTGTGGGTCGGCGGGAGGGTGAAGGAGATCGGAGGGGACGGGATCAGCGGCTTGGCGCACCACTTCGACGCGCGCAGCAACTGCGTGGACTTCTTCGCCGAAGAGTTCGGAGACATGCCGCTGTTGGAGTCTTCCGTCAAGGTGTACCCCATGCACACTGGTCTGTTGTCGTGGCTGTAAGACAATGGTCGCATTTTGCCGGAGCGGGTGTTGTGGTGGTGTTCTTTTGTGCATGAGTCACGGAGTTCACCCGTTCCCCATCCGAGCGACGGTTTGGTAGAGGAAAATAGCGCTAGGAATTTTTCCACGACAGTACGGTAGGCCGTACGCTGTGGTGTCGACAGCACTATTGAACAGCAGCACGTACGTCTTGCTGTGATATTGATGGTGTCGGTACGCTGCTCGTGCCAAACATTTTGTCGAAATTGAAACATGGCACGGGATGAAGCCGGCCCCTGGAAACGTTTGCTGCTCTTGTTTATATTTGTGAATGCAGCGCCCCGGAAGAAGTGCAGATGATGCGGGCCGCCGCACCATCAAGGGCCTAGTTGTGAGAAATTTGCACGCATGTGTCAGTCATTTCTGTAAAGTTGTGCGGTCATTTTGGACCACACCACACCACGCTAGACCACTCGTGGTGAGGTTTGCATGTGGTGTTCTGTTTATTGTTGCAATCAAGCCGACCAATATCGTCCACTTGCGAGTATAGGAATTTGCAACCGTGCTTAGGTTGCCAGCAACTGGGGGCAAGTCTGTAGACGGGGGCGTGGGCGTGCGTGGCATAGGAATTGTACGTAAGTGTCTGCCTACTGGTGTTTACACAAAGTGCGTAGAAGGCTACAGTAGTGGGTCCGGAGATAACTGCAACAGGTTGAGAATCGTAAAGAGTCCGTTCTGTGAGTTGCCGTGAAGGATCAGTTGATTTCGAGAGCATACAGCAAGTTGTAAACTGCACAATGAGACCATCGCGATCGCCTGTATGCTGTTTGAAGAGCATATCGTGGTTCGTCGATGGTCTGTATGCACGCTCGTTTCCCTGCAACGGTATAGCTGTTGCTTGCACGAGCGCTACATCAGGTTCACGCCAGGCGGTCATGTCTTTGGTAGCTTGGTTTGGATGAAAAGCACGACGTAGATTGGTGACTGGCCCCAAGAGGCGGATACAGTACTGGGCCCTCTAAAGTGCAAGGGTGTGCCCAGAAATTCTACCTGCACTTAGCGGGCACCTACACTAATCAGAATAGTCCGTCAATAGTGCAGGTCCGGCACTATTGAGGAGATGTTTGATTTTATGGTGTGGCGCTCATGCTTTGCAGGGCGAACAGAGTACGAAATGGATCGAATTACAGTAGTCTAGTAGTGTTGGACCCTGTTCTGTTATAGCGTGGGCGTGGGCAGACTGTCCCGCGACGCGTGTGGTTCCCCCCTGCCGCACACACAGAGATGTAGAAAAAAGCTTGCACGTTGTACCGTGAATTTCTTCCTGTCTCAGCACTCGTTCTGTACTGCGCACCGTGAATTGTCGCACGAACCAACACTTCAACATTAATACTTAGTCCTCGATGCCCCCTTTGAATGTTGCAAGATAAGAAAATATAGCACTACAAGAAAACAAACGACCACTACTGCTATCGCTGTACCCCCCGCCCTCACTACGTCGCGAAAAATTATCTTATGTCTGCCTGGCGCATCCATCAACTTGAGAATCTCAAGCTTCATGTTGTTGTCCGGCCGCACACGAGAACCAGAACCCATCTTACTCCCCCCCTTCGTTTTTTTCGGGCGTTTAGATGGTCCCGCCCCAGCACCCGCAGCTGGTGTCGCTTTGAGCTTGCCAGCCTTGGCGACGCCCTTGCTGCAGATGCGGTGCTTTTTGTTGTCCTCAAACATGCTGCCTCAATTGCCGTGGAGCCGCCCGCCACACCCTCCCTTGCAGACGTGGTCATGGGGGGCTCGCGGCGTTCTGTCTTGTTGATGGCTCAGTTCACCGTCCGCACAAGGCATGGTGCGCCTCGGCGTAGAGCTCTTCGGGTCTGCAGCAGCACATGTCCCCTGGTTTCTGTGTTGGGCCTGTCCGCGGTCTTGTCCGTGTGTGTTTTTGTTATTAGCATCGACCGCGCTAACCGGCTGACCAATGACAAGACGTCAGTCTTAGCGCGATTGAAAACATAAAACATTTTTAGGGGGCGGCTTGGGGGAGGCTAAGCTATTCTCCGGATCAAAGACAGAAACGGTAGCAACGGAAGAAAACTGCATGAAGGCTGCTACCTTGCACTCTAGTTCGTTTTGGAGTGCTTTCACCGCCATCCTCCTTCCTCCCAACTCCATCG